GGTATTCCTCAAGTGGGAGAGTTTCTTCATAACAATATGTCGAGCGAACATCAGAACTACGCCAAGAGGAAGTGTTCATAGTTACAGAAACGTCGGAGAGCTGTGGCTAAAAGAAAGATTCCACCATATTTCCTCAATGCTTCGCGCTTATAGTACCACTGGGCGTGGTTTTGAGAGGCGGAGAGTATGAGGTGCACGACTCTCAGGGTACGTGGCAAAGCAATCATAATATGCAGCGTTGGTGGGCGTGAAGAGCGACGCTGCACCCCACAGACGAGTTGTCCTGCCTGATCGTCCGAATGACCGAATGAATGTCGGGATGGGGAAATTCGATATTGCCCGTCATGGGGTCTGACCCATACGAGTTTCGCTGCTCCAACCAACGATGAATGATCCGCGCATACCGCATCACACTCCGCGCGCGGCGACGCGTCAAACTACGATTGTCTTGCCCATCTCCCTGCACCTCGTTCTCGCTCTCATCGTAACCCTGCGATTACCTCTGGGAATGTTTTGTTTTTTGCCTTGCCTAAGTCACAGTAGTGCTTTCATTTGCCTGGTGATAGGGATGATCTTTTTCTAGAGCATTGAACCAAAATTACCTGCAAAAAAAGATGACCGCCTGTTAAACATAGCATCGCACTCCCGCGTAGATCACCACAGGCCCTTTAGAACTAGCAAATTTATGTTATGAGTTTTACTTGCACCCCATTTCCAGTTTATGGAGAAGGCGTGTCGAGGCACTTTATGTGGGCGTGATGTAGGCGGAGCTTTGGGAGAGCCGTTGCCGTTTTGAGGCAGTTGTAATTAGTATTTACCTAGCGCAATATAGGATGACACTGGGAAGAAACGCGTCCTATGCTACTTTCTAAAGGAGTACGAAGCCATGCTCCTCCTCATCTCCGGGATGTGGGGTGTACTAATTGCATGCTACTCCATAGCATTCACTTAGGACACTAGTTCCCCAATGAGCACAGAAAAGAGCCTCTGGACCAGCGGGAGCGTGGTGACAAGTTTCTCTCAGGTCAACTAATGATTATGAGGGAAGTAAGGGGCAACATGTTACCACCTTGTCAACGTGCCGAGCCACTTTGCGAAGACGTGTAAATTCTCGTAAAGCTTTACTGAACTTTACTAAATGATTGAATGCTACAACGCGTAATTGACTGCAATTAGGACATTTCTTGTTACGCCAAAGTAATTCACAATCGGCCAGAAAAAATCGAACCGGTCATCGGAAACTAGCGCTATTCTAGGTCAACCGTCGGATAGGGAGAATTCGCGTAGCGACGATTAAAATTTGTTTCTTGTGAGACTACGGTATCTGGAAACAAGCAGAAGAAGCCATGAATGCGGGGAGTAGAGGGGAGATGGATCATCTCCTCGCTCGCAGTCGCTTCCTCACATCTTTCTGCACTAAACACCACCCATCATAAGGAAAACCAACAAAGAAATGGAGTACAAACGAATTCTGGATCATTTCGGAGCTTTACAGAGCTTCATGCAATAGTCCGGCAAGTTGACAAACATTAACAAAATGCCCCCTCCTAGCCGCCTTTGCTCCCCAAACAGGGTCTAAATGTTTCTAGGAGATTCTATGTATCACGGCTGATGGGTGAATGGCCTTTTGGTACTTAAACAAAACAAAAATCCCGTTGAACAGAGTGATTTTCAATTAACGGTGATACGTGTTATGATCGTTGTCTGAGGATGGACAAATGTCACTACCTCGTGACGGAAAACTCGTCCATCAGCTACATGAGCGTACAGCTTGGTGTGTATTCGAAACTGGTGCTCACACAGCGCACACCCATAGATAAGTGAATCATAAGTGTGCACAGAATGAGCAAAAGGAGCTCTGTCTATCCATGGGTCAAGTTCTCTAAACTCCGACGAGTGTACCCCCACAAATTTATTTTCTCAGGTCACGTCCCGTGCGAACCCTACGATGCATTACTAATCGCAGGGCAAAGCTTTGCTTGCCTGGCGTGTTGTAGTACGCAATTGAAACATTCCAGAATGTCAGGCTTTTGGGACGAGCCTATGTGATTCTTCAACGCTGCTCTTCGGTGGTATGCTTGCGAAGAAGGGTTTCCAATGTTATCTTATCGGTTATCTTCTACTGTGTGTTCGCACCAACCTGCAAGCCTCAGTTCTTCGTTGGAAACCTTAATTTACTCTTTCATCATTTTGCTTTTATTTTTTCAGAAACCTTAATTTACTCTTTCATTTAATTTTGCTCTTAATTGTTCCCATGAAAACTCAGTGATGGATGCCTTTTGAGACAACGATTACTTAAATTCAGCAAATCATCTGGGGAATTCTCTTGTTCTTTTTTAAATTCCTATTGTGCTTCCTATTGCTTTACATTTAAATGATTCTCCTTCTCGAAAATACTCTGCTTCTCTAACAAAAAAAGTGTTTTTTCTCCGCACAAAATTATATAGAATCGTGGGTTTCTTCCGGTCTGTAAATTGGTTTGTGCTCTAATCCTCCCCAAAAAAATGGGAAATTGATAAGACATTCACTAGAAGAAAGATAAAGTTGGTGAAGCAGAGGATCATTTACTTACTTGCATGTTTATCACGCTCCGATGACATTTCCACGTAGCAGCCGGTGAGGGTCTTCACAAATGAATGAGTTTCTTCTTTCCAGCAAAATGCGGATGAATATCAGACTGAAAATCATGGATCAAACAGATCACCGGTTCGAAGTAGATGATCAGGTTGGTTTAATTTTTACGAGTAAGAATTGGTGTTTAGGGATCTTTCACGCCTTCAGATGCAATTTTACCAGCGGACCTACTATACGGAGACAAAAAATCGCTGCGATTAGCTTGCTCGCGTATCACCATGTGCTAAAACCGCGTTCAGACTTAGCTATCGCTTGACTGGACCGCGCGTTTGGATCGCTCGATCGGATCGCGCGTACATGACCGGGTCCGCTCCAAGGCCAATCTGTACTCCGCCGCGACCGCTCTATTAAAATTAGTAGAAGCGGCCCAATTTAAATCCTGTCGTCGCTTGGCGGTAGAGCCCATTCAGTCGTAGTCGCGCGAAGTCTAGACACGGTTTAAGGGGTGATTGATATCTAAAAAAAACAAGTTACAGAGGCAGGGTACCTCGGGCTGTGAAAAACGTCCGCGTTAGTGCAAAACCCTCCTAAAGAGAATTCAGTCAGATGCGGACTCCTTCACAACACACAATACAACCCCAAATCATCTCGAATCACCATGCTTGACTCTATCTAACCTCGTATTGTCGTTAATAGCCTAGCTATTACTGACTTGCGTAGACTGCGCGTGATTTTGATAACAACGTTTTATTGACGTTTAATGGAGTCACTTCGGAAGCCCACTCGCTCTCTTCGGAAGCCGAAACATGGAAGTCGATTTACGAGCTTTTCGTCCAGATATCTCACATCCCCTTATACAACTTCGAAGGTCTGAATAAGTGGTGAACCATCGAAATGTGGTAATGTTGGCAACCAATTAAAGGTTTTAGTCACTCCGTCGTGTGCAGTCAAGCAGGCGCGTATAGAGCCACACAAAGAAAGATCACACAATCTCTACAAATTTTCAGTCGACCGGGATTGTGAAAGCCGCACTAGAACCTGCCAAAACGAAAAAGAACAGTTTTCCTGAAATTTCTCAGACCCGTGACTACCACTTCCCGGAAGTGGACTCCACAGGGATGGGTAGAGAAGTGAAAAGAGAGTTTTTTAGAAGGCGCTATTCCAGTTTGCATGCTAATGTGGAGGAAAAAGGGTAACAAATACATAATTCTGCTAGCCTTACAATACTGCAGACAAATGAGACAGAGCGGAGTTAGACTGAGCGGCAAATAAAGATCACACGAAAAGGAGTGATACAATTAAATGTCCAGCGTAAGCAGCAGACAAAGAACGAAGACTAGCACCTCACTGACACAAACCAAGCCGAAGGAAATGCGCTTGCCGTGAACCTAATTTTTGTTTCTTGGTACTTTTAGATTGTCTTCAAGAGTTATCTAAAAACAGTGAAGTGCAACGGTAAACCTAAACACTATAGCTAACTAAATGGAGCGTATACGTATGATACGACTTAGAAAGCTTATGTTTAGTGCTATGAGCAGCAGCTTTGGAAAGAAACTAGAATTTTTGCTGATTCATAACTGGCCATATTGGTGCGCCTACTACTGGGCAAACTCTGAACGCAGTTTCATACAGAACTCTCTACTGATAAAGAGAAGCGCATTCGAGTGCATATGAACCACTACATGTCCGCGCAGTAGTAAGGAGGTTTTAGATTGGGGATGGTCTTAAGTTTTTTTGGACCTGATGAGTTCAGACAATGGATGGTCTCTGATTTCCCCGCCCCTTGTGAGGTTGCATTCATACTGCGCGGCTCGAGCGACTCTCTTTCGAAATGCAGGAATCGCGCATCAAATGCTGTGCTCTGTTTTTCATTGATTTGGTTTCTTAGAAAGTTTTGTTTAGACTTTGCTCTCGGATTTTCGTCTGCAAGTCGCTGAACGTCTTCATATTCCTCCCGACCGTCAGCGAATGATTTTCGCAGTGAGTTGCGACTTAGCATTACTTTATATATCCTCTGAGTTATTACACTTCGACTTTTATTCTACAAAACGATTGGTATTTATTATAAGAAATCTATTGCTCTTTTAATCACCAGGGCCATGTTTTGAAGAACGAAAACAGCACTTTATCCGCATGTGGTTTACGGGATGGACACGTCGTGCACTTGGTGGAACGTCCAGCTGATATGTGCGTTCGTTTACTTTAGATGGGTTTCGGAAAGAGCTGCTATAGGGTTGTCTTAGAAGTTGTTTAATTCAGCACATAGCTGTTTTTCAAATGAGTAGAATAAAAGGACCAAAATAAGTGGCGATCAATCGATCTAGCCCGACTTGATAAATAGGTCGATTTTGGTTCCTTTTTTCCTTTCTGAGAAGGATAACGTAATCTTAGTTGCTCTCAGCATTTTTAATTGAGCTATTTTATCTAATAATAACCTACTGGCAGGCATATAGAAGTGTGATCACAAGATAACAATAGATATAACACAAGGCGAGCATAAGGCTGCTTTCATACTCAGCGTTGAGCGTTCGAGCGTATCGCAACGTTTTGAGCGTATGCTAGCTTAAAGCAGCGTTTTGATCGACTGGGAAACTATGGATATTGATCAGCGTTTTGGGCGTACGTCAGCATTTTTGTGGCTGCCCGCGGAATGTTCAAATTACCCGAAAACCGTGGAAACTCTGGCATACGCTCAAAAGCACTAGATCTATAATTATACTTTTCTAGTAGCTCAAAACGCTGCCGTACTCTCGAAGCTCTCGAAATGCTGACACAAAGTATGAATGTAGCCTAAAATTGGAGCAGGAAAACGTCGTTATGAATTTTCTAAGCAAGTTGGCTGGTAAAGCAACCGCCGCTTTGTCTCAACGAGAGAAACGTCACGTATGTCATATTCGCTGGACAGATTGCTAACTTGCTCAGTGAGCATGTTACGGCCAGTAACTGTATCCGTGCGGCTCTAAGTGTAATATGCGCGGTGGCAGTGTTTCCTGTCGCCGAATTCGATTGCAAAATTCCCTTTACTAGGTGACACTTTGTTTACAACTACGCCTCAACTGCTACTTGTAGTGTGAATTCGTGTTAGATACATGCGTCCTGGCCCAGCTTTCAACTGTTTAAAAGGGATGATTTCACGATGACTTCAAAGAGCTCCTTTACACGAGCAACTCAGCACTTTGTTTTGTGAGCAGGATGGAGAAAAACAGGAAGGGATGGTATTAAAGACAGCCCCCGCGATCAAAGTGGCTCGTGGTCGCCTTTGCTGTGCAAGTAGTCTAGCCTCCAAGCTAGAAGACTGTTCACCTTTCGCGACTCTATTGTGAGCGTGGAGGCTGCTATAGCCGCTCAAAGTGCTAGTTCTAACTCCTCCTCAGTCGGACCGCCTTTACTTGCTAGATGTCCTCCGACGGAGGCCTCTCACTTGTTCTTAGTTGGGGCGGCGGGTATTGCTAATGCCCCTGGATAATTCTGCTCTCCTTCATTACAGTTTACTCATTGGAGGTATATACATTCAATTCAACCCATTTCGCGAGGTGAAACGCGTAAAAAACACGAGTGACGCAATTTTCGTGATGCAAAACCACGACTGCGCTACCGTAATCACAAATTCAGACACCGTGTTGATAAAATTCCTTTTTTCTTCCCAGAGTTTTTCCTC